TACACTCGAGAGTGAGTATAGTACAGAGTAGTGGAGCAACGGAAAATAAACAACACGTCGTGCGTGTGCAAAGTGGATTCCCCGACGCTACACTCCTATTTAATCAAGTGACAACAGACAGTGTTTCCAAACACAAACAAAGCAAAGCAAGCAAGCAATCAAGCATGGTTAAGGCGAACAAAAGAACAAGCAGAGTTCTTGAATGTGATTGTCTGAGTGGTTTGTTGTGGAAACTGAGAGGAGGGTGGAGTCCTGCGGAATCGGTACTGTACTTTTTTTCTACCCCTGTAGCTTTTGACACCTTGTTCGACTTTGTACACACCAGTATATTGTTGAGGGATGGCTGCCCCTGTATAATCCCCTCCTTACACAGTCTACATATTCAGACCCATTCCCGGATCATCTCTCAATGGGATAAGAATAGCATAACTTCACACTGACAGGGCTCTTGTCGAGTACCGAGCAGCCACCACCCTCCACCCTAAGGGGACCAAGTAGGCATGGTGGCATACGCTACAGCATCTCATACATACGAACGGGAGGGTATATGTCATATCCTATTGGTCCTGGTGGCCAAAAGGCAGCCGAGTACTCCGTACTGCTGAACGGCCGACGTCGGCCCCAAGCGCCAAATTGTATGAGGGATTTAAATTACCTTAGTAAGACTAAGCCCCGTGTGCACTGCACAAAAGCACCCAGTCGTTCCATTTACTCCGGAGGAGTTCGTTGGGGAAGAGGCAGAGAGGAGGTGGAGGGAAGACACCATTAACAATGGCTTACTATACCCTATTCTCGCCTCCTCGTTTCTACTCTTCTGGCTCGTTCGCTCACTCGCCTTCTCCCTCTCGCTCCACCGGCAACGGAAGAACGTCGTTCGCGGATTTGCGCCGGCCCTTCTGCCTCCTGATGCACGACGCCCCAGATCGAGTAAACCCCAAGACACGCCGTGCGGCACGGCAATCACTGCGTGTCTGATGGGCAGCCTCTTGATCCCGTACAACCGCTTTAGGGTCGGCCGACCCGGCGCATATTGCCCTCTAAACCACCCCCGGTCCCTAGTCCTCTTCCCCTCTTTCTCTTCCTCCGCGGATGGTGGGAGATGGACCGAGCGTTTTCTTACTCTTGAGCTAATCGTCGAATCATTCAATGAACTCCCTCGTACTTGCTTCTTTCCCCTCCTCCCTAAAGTCTAGCTTAGCACGCACTCAGACCGGATGTACCGTATGCGAGGTTGCCGTCATGACAGCTGCAATCCGCACCTGTCTCTCCGAGTTCACCAGACGGGTGGCATGTTCGATTCTTTTCATGGAAGGATTCAGAATTCCGCTCATGCTGCACCTCTGCACCTTGGAGGTACTTTTGATGAAAGCTCGGCCTGGCCCTCGTTCGCCGTAACCACAATACCATACCATGTACAGTAAGTTGGATACACGGAATATAAGATCGTTGCTTGGGCTGCTGGGCCAGATGCCGCTGCTGCAGTGATGGTCAACAACCCAAGTCGCACATGGGGGCACCTCACCCTTGCTTGAGGGTCCAGAACTCGGCGTCAAGCATAGGGGCAGTCGTGGCAGGAGAGAGGGTCTAGAAAGTCTAAGCCTGGGTGACCGACCTGCCGGGTCCAACTGCACGTCCGGAATCCTACCATAGTAGGTAACCATCTGGAATGTGTCAATGCCAATGCCACAAAAGGGTAAGGAGAAGGTGATGACATTCTCCCCAGGGAGGGATTCCGCAGTCCATACGGAGTACATAGCATAGAACGGGTCTTGTGATCGTCCGTCCTCCCCCATTTGGAGACACACAAGGGGTAGAGAGAAAATCACCCGCACCTCTCAGTGAATTCCCGACTGAGAAGGCCAAGACCCCTCCGCCAAGAGCGCCAAGGGGGGAAACATTGAGTCCCCTTCCATGCAGCGATCAGTTCGCGGCGGTTGCTCTGGAGTTGAAAAGCAAAGACTGTCCCCCCGTCCAGCTGCCCCTTACTCAACTTCTCTCTTCTGACCGGCCACGGCAACATTCCACAGCATTGCTTGGCAACGTCCGATGACTTCGCCTCCCCCCCCCCTCTGGTGTGACGACCGGAGCAGCTTACCTCTGCCAAGAGAGAACACAGCCATAATACCGCCGCGGGAAGGGAGGGGAAGGAGAGAGAGCGCCCACAAACGAAAAAGTAAGGTCTGGCCGGTTGAGGATGTACCCGCTCCCTAAGAAACACCTCCTCTCCCTCCCGCGGCTACCGACTTATCCCGTACTCCGCTCTCGATCACATTCCTTCTTCTCTCCTTGCCTTGCCTTACTCGGTGCAATTTGTCGCTGGACGGTTCGAATTGAGTTGGTCGCGCGGCCAAGCGATGCCAAGATCCCACCCCATTCCAAATGCCTTTGCATTGTCTGGCCAAGACGTTACCGATTTGGAGGGAGGACAAGGGGAGACCGTTTGGCTGAGAAATCGCTCGCGATAGGAGAAACGGGAGTTCCTGATTTGGACGAGGATCGCCGTCGATCATCTGCTTCTGTGATGCATAGCTGGTTCTTGGCACCGCGAAGATTGAACATGAACACGTCGGATGGATACCGTGCAGAGGCAGAATTGCTTTTTAGCAGTCCAGATAATGAGGCTATGCGTTTGATGGTCTCAGGGACTATCAATCGCCAAGAACCACGTCGCCAGCACTGCCATCCATTGCGACCCAAATGATAGGGAAAGACGGAGGAGAAGGAATGAGGAGATGGAAAGCAGTTGGGATCTCCACTCAAGAACCGAGTTGATTGAGTGAATTGACTTGACTGATCGGCCCGTCGGCCGTGTGGTGAGTGCAATGTAAGTTCACAATGCATGCTCGGATGATATTCAAAGGCCAACCTACCTTGTTCCTCTCCACATCAGCGATCGACGGGGGGGAATGATCATGAGGCGGGCGATCTGTATCTTGTCCAATGATGGCTCGTGCAAATAAGGTTGATCCAGCACAGGTACATACACATTTGAGGGAGATGGAGGGTGGTTAGGTAGCTTAACTTAAGCCTCCTCCAACGTTCCAAAGGAGTAGAGTGCAGGCCGCTAATGTCGGGGTTTAAGGAGAGAGCGAAAGAGAGGCACAGCGAGAGAAGCTCCGACCGCCTAGAGAGTGAGAGAGGTCAAGTTTTCTCCATGATGATGCACTCAGTGACCTTGCCTACTTTCCCTTTTGGGCAAACTTCTCGAATGTCACGGGGGTTTCTCTCTCTCTGTTACTTTCCCCGCATTTATCACTTGATCTGTTATTCAAGTTTGTTCGCATTGATAGTCATTGTGATTATATCATTATACAGCTGAGGTTATGTCAGAATCTTATGCATTTACAAATCAAATCCCCCTGAAAGCAACAAGATGTTAGAAAAGAGAATGTATACCGAGATAAGTAGATACAACAGTCCGGATATTTTCGGGGCCGAACGAAAGCAGAAGCGAAGGCTACGTCATCGCCCTGCCACCCACCGTTTGCAGCCTGACTCTCTCTCTCTCTGTGTCTAGCAATCAGTGGCTGAGATCTTCGGCTATACCGGCTTATCATCAGCAGCTTGGACTATCTTACTCATACTCACTCGCCCTATACTTCCTCCTACTATCCCTAATCATGATTAAGTCAGTCGGTCAGTCAGCCAGTCACCCGAACAAATTACATTCACCACAACACGGATGGAAAAAGATGTGACCTTGTGATGTCATCCACCATCAGGCCTCCACGTATCTTTCCCGTGGCGATGATCCTAGCCCGGCCCTTCAGCAATACTACTCAGTAAGTTAGTGGCTATTATGATGGAAAAGAAGACAGGGCTGAAGGGGTCAATCACTTCATAGGTTGGCTTCCTATTTCCTATTTTTATCTGTTCTGTAACGGCCTACCGCCGTAAATTTCGTTACTTTACTCTTTCCAAAAACGATTCCGGGCTGCAGAAGGCTCGCGCGGAGCGTTTGATTATGATATAATCATAATATGTTACTCTATGGCATTTAGCAGATCTCTGACTTTCGATAGAAATACCGAAAGTAGGAGTTGCCAATCTCGGTGACGCAAAGCCTTCCACGCTGGAATGCTTGGGATAGCATCATCGGTTGAACGACCCACGTAAGGGAAATACTTGGCTGACCTGGGTGTGATATGGAAGCTGTGCTGTGCTGTGCTGTCTGTAGAATCGCTCCGGATTGCTGCAGTCTGCTCCCCCCATGGATGCAGGTTTGACGGTGTAGGCATCAACATTGCGTTCCCTGCGTAGGCAGGCATCTGGGATTCGCGATCAGCGTAGGCCTTACTCGGGCCTTACACAATGCGACATCCGTTGAGCCGACCAAGGCTTGAGGATATAGCTCGTATGTTGTATGGGTCCGGGGCAGAGCGAGGTGCTTTGTGATGCTGGGTGAGCGAGGTCTGACCTAAGCTATAGGGGCCGGGAGTTAGGCAGTAAGATGGGAGCAACGATACGGGGCAGAGTAGTCGTCTTCTTTCTGGGCAACATGGTTCTATCGTCTGGTGTTATGAAGGGGGAGGGAAGAGAAGGAAGACCATTCCGGGGTCTGTTTATTGAGACACAGATGTGCCTTGAGTACTGTGCTGTGCATGCCTTCAAACCACATACTATCTCTATAGATCCGATGCCGCCAAGTCCTTTGCTGTTTGCATATCAGGGCATGGCAGATAGAAGACGCCGTATGCTGATCTTGGTGGCCCATCTGTACGAGCTCATAACTTGGAGAATTTGCTTTGCACTGTAGCTCCTAAAAATTCGGCATAAAAATGTTGACATTGATGTTGGTATCGGTGAAGGTGGCTGGAGCGAGTCCCCTATGAAAATAAACCCAAGCTTCCCGGTAAACTCCTCGTTATCCTAACGACTCAATTCTGTTCTTTCTAACGCTCAGCAAGTTATGCACAAATTAGTGAATCCCTCGCTTGCTGTTTGCTGCTCATGAGGTCCCCCCCCCCACAAATAATGTTGCGATGCATCTACCTAAGCTTTCATGCCCGTTTGATGGAAGATAATATTCGAGAGCAGAGGAAGGCGAGGACTCCAATCGTGAAGTCGGCATTGGGGATATGAGCACCAGAAGCAGATGGACATATCAGTCTTACTAAAGGTTGGTTAGTCGTTGCGGAAACGATCAGGATAGTCACCATTAACTCACCAAGCGGCGCACTGCAGCCAAAAGCTTGAAGGCGAGACTCCAGGGTCGATGACAAGGATTGAGCATCGGCAACCATATCCCCCTCGTACTCGTTGACAATGCTCTCGTAGATTTTCCCATCGCTAAAGCATGTGCTGAAGTTCTCAAGGTGTAGCCCATTGTTCTCCGCTAGGGTACTAGCCCATTGTTTTAGCGATGATCTATTTATGTCGTTCTCGCCTCCTGAAATGTCCAAAGAAGTTGAGATCAACTTTTCGACATCCTCAATGTCAAATCGGGAAGTGGTCGCCTTCAATCGATGAACTTCCCTCCGCAATCCATGACTATCCAAAAGCCTGTCGAGACCCCAAGTGCTGATGAGGCCCCAAAGTAGCCCGATAGTCTTCTCACGATGTCCGTCCACGATGTCTTCCGCGCGCAGATTGTGGACAAGCTTTTTTGTCTCGTCCATAGAAGACAGTGAATCCAAGGTGATCTGCACATTAAACAGCTTTACTGCCCGTCCCATGCAGGGAAACTTAAGCCTGCTAGTCAATGGCCATCTCTGATTCCCCAGCTCTCTAACTGAGACTGACTTCGAAACCAACGACTCGACAAGCCGTGCCAATCGCACTCCATCGCGCAGGTCCACAGCAATATTGTTGATCCCAAAGTGGTACTCCGCCAAGGGTTGCTGCTCATACGACAACTGGCAGTCAAGATGATACAGCGCTTTGATGATATCGCCACACGATGGCAATAGCAATTGACCCAGTGCCTGCAAGACAGTATTGGAGGACTTGTACAAGGACGAAGGGTGGAAAAGGAGATGTGGTAGAGAGACCTCAGAGCATCGTTTTGCTTGATCCAGAAGTACAATGATCATGATGCTCCGGAGAAAGGTTCGACGGTATGCACGTCCTGCGATGTCTCCATCCTCTTCTCCCCGGTCTTGTGGATGTCGATCCATATCCTGGTTCTGCAAAAGGAAAACATCCAAGAAGCCTGCTAATCTCCGTTTCATTGCCTTTTTTCCGCCAATGTCGCCGATGCCCGCCGCCAGCTTCGAATTTGGAATCGTTCTCCCAGTAATCACTTCCAGTGCTGCTCTGAGAGTTTGCAAGTCGTAAGTATGGATCCAAAAGTCAAGGAATTTCCGCTTTAAGCCCAAGTCTCGATATATTTTACTGGCATCATTGAGCACGTCCTTTGGCAGGCTCAGAGCACCATAGAGTAATGAAGCCTTCAGCCGTTTCTGCAATTGCATAAAAGGAGCACATTGGTATAGGGTTAGCAGCTCATTTCTGAGTTTGCTGGCATCGATACAATCGGCGTTGTGATTACTGGTGTCCAATAACTCATTCATTAGCTGGTTCAATAGAACCTCCTGGTGCCCAAGCCAGTCATCCTCGTACAATTCCGGTTTCGTGATGTTGTCAGGGATGACACAAGAACTTTTTGCGAGCTCTTTCGCTTCCAGAACCTGTGGGGTTCTGGACTTCGCCATCATGGTCTTCCGCGTTGATATGGGAGCCTCATCGCTTTTGGCTGGCAAGGCTTCGTGGTTGAAACATGTTGTCTGTTTCCTGCTGTCGAGTGGATGTCTCTTGATAGGCTCTGTCTCGGAAATGCATTTTCTGGTCTCGGGCTGAATCCGATTGCTTGTCTTGGAAGCTAGCGCCGAGTTCGCTGGCTTTGAGGCTGCTTTGGTCCCGAGAGTTCGATTCCCAATCGAAGCAACAGCCTGGTTGCGTTCACAGGGCTCTTTGGTCTTCAAGGATTGTTGGTTTTTACTGTCAATGAAGAATGATCCAGGTGGTATATTCTCCTTCCCACCATTTTTGCCAGGCAGGTCGACATGAATATTAGCCCCCTGGGCAATTTTCGTGCTGGGATTCAACGGCGCCCGCTGCACCGCTGAGTTGAGGGACCGTTTAGCCAGTCGTTTCCGTGCAATTTGTGCCTCCAGGCTGTTGATCTGTGTGTCCTCTCGAAGAAGATTTTCAACGTTCTCGGTTTTCTGGGGACTGAATAGACCCATGAACACGCTCGCAACTGTGGTATCATCTGGAGGTATGTAGACCGTATTGCGTCGAACGGCTTTTTTGAGTGCATCCCCAGACTGAGGCTTCTGTCGCGCGCCATTTATCTGCAGTAAAAGCTCATTGTTTTCTTCCTGGCCCCGTTCTCTGTGCTGCGTTGACGTGACGACTCCTATGGGCCGTGATTTTCTCTGTGGGCTAGCAACAAAGCTAACCTTAGGACGAAACCTCTGAGCCGGCTGGGCAAGCAAGGACTTTCTGTGAGACGAAGCGATGGTTGTCGCGGTACTTGGTGCCCTTCTCAAACCAGGCGCAGCTTGCACGGAGTCTACCTCGGATTCGTCGCGAATCAGGAAGGACGCGTTCGATCGAGTTTTGCGCCTGGGCTTAACGCCCGTCAGCACTGATGGTCTAATTTCGGTCATAAAGTCGATGTTTTCGGTGGAATCACTACTGGTGATGCTGGTGTCACACAGACCATCGAGCGAGCCCCTAATGCTGCTTCGATTGAGTCCCGAAGTCCCCTGTCGCGAGGGGCAGGGGGTTACGGCATCATAGATGTAGCTTGGCATCTTGATATTCAAAGGGGGTAGATAAGATGCTCGTTGTTTCTGAGTTGAGACGTATTGATGGCAGTGATAGATTGAAGTCACTTTTCGAATCGCTCTAGGAATTCTGCCGGCTCAACATGCTTGATCGCGGAAATATATGGTGGTAGCCTTGCGTTGATGGGTAACGCGTCGAGTGGAGGAAGTATATGTTAGTAGAAAGTTTGCAGTTACACCTCGAAGAGCATGGTGGACTCCCTAGTTAGGAGGCGAATAGTAAAGCTAATCCAATGAAGTTTGGGACGAGATGGGTCTGGATGTGAGGTAGGGAGACGCGGTGTTGACAGGTGAGTTGCCGGCGCAACGCAATTAGACACCTGAGGCATCAAAATGACACTTAATCCGGCCCTTTAATGTCATGCAGCCAATTTCATAGTACGCACCTATTTTCATTAATCCTGTACAAAAAATTCTCTTCGTACGTGACTCGCTAAAGACGGCACTTCATCAACATGACTATTCCTCCGTCACCCATATGCCTCGTAAGCAAGCGTATGGAAGAGACCAACACGGTTACTAGCGGTCGCGCAACCCATGACAGTTCAACCTAGCTTGATTCTCAGGCAACTCGGTATTATCATTCCGACTGGTGAGATACATTGAGGGTTATTAAGGTTAAGAATGCAAGGATACGTCAAGGTGCATGTGCATCATTCCGGGGAAGGGGCGAGCCCTGTGCAAGTCGGGTCCAGCCAGGACTACAAGGTAGTTATCACCTGTGAACCTTCGCATGCATGTGCGTTGAGCAAGGCAATGGCGATTATAATCTCAACGTATGTTGCCCTTAAAGAAGAACAGTTGGTTGCCGAGGTTTCCCAAAAACCCAGATGACCATTTTCGTGCTCTGTGTCTCACTACACTACACCACACCCCCTGAACGTATGTTATGGTTCGAAACTCAAAAGAGATGATGATCAAGTTCAATGTTTCTGGGGAAGATGGCGACCTTGTCAGTCTTGCTGGATGATGAAAAATTGTTGAGCACTTCGTATACGTCTTGACCTGACTATAATAGGGGAGTATGGATTGCGAATGGGCCACTTTAATGTCAACGCTAGGCGACTCAAATATGACCATTACTGTCGCTAGTTGATGGACCATAGTTATAGCCGGCGGCTTCCGCGAACTACCTCGATTTGGGCGATATGAAACAAGTGTACCAATAGGCCCAAGGGAATGATATATTGGCAGCTGAATTCCAACGCCGGACTGATGACTTGCATAACAAAGCTCCGAGCCTCGGTCAGGGGGTTGTACTCATTACCTAGTTGTTCACAAGCTGAGATTGCATTCAACCCCGGTAGGATAAATGCTGCGCAGGGTCAACAGCCTCATCTCCATGAAAAATAGAAAGGGAAAAAAAAAAAAAAAAAAGAAAAAAAAGGAAAGAAAAAACACGAAAACGAGAAAGACTACCAAACCAAAATCGGCCGGATCGACCTCTCGTGCAGAGCATCAATCGGTGGTGGGGGGCGCCTAAATCCTTAGTTGCGTGGGCAAAAGAGCTCAGCGGTCGAGTTTCCCCAGACTAGCAGGCACCCTCACTCACCACACATGGTCTGATCCTCCAACGTGGCCCTCTTGGCCTCTTTGGCAATGCAACTCCGTACCTCTGCACAGTGCACTGTTCCAACTTCCGAGTCTCCATCTGCCAGGGGTAATCCGTGCTATGTATATCTTCCTCCGTCATTAAAAGTGCACCGGTCATCCGGTCTATTCCTGTTCCTCTTGAAAGTATCCACTCAGCCTCCCTTACACGCCTCGATTTCCACCACTTCCAATTGCTAGTGCCGTTCACGCTCATTTCCCGTTTCCTGTCCTTTCCTCCCATCCCCTCCCCAATCTCTCGCCCCCGACCGGATTCCACTGATCATTATTCGATACTCTTCTGCCTGACTCCCTCTCCTTCGACTTTACCACGCGCCCCATTGGATTGTCGCGGAGATGGGCTTGCGATAATCCCATTTTCTTACCCGCTGGTCATTCTGGAGATACACTGTACCTATCTGTATTCGAGACACCTAACCTGCGTTTCCTCCCGGTTCAACCGTCGCTTCACTCCACCTCACCCGCTTCGCGGTCCGGAATGCTTACCGATCATGGAAGCTCTTGTCTATGAGAACTCGCCCTTGGCTGAATATCTCCACGGTGAGTTTGATCTCAATCCATCTCGTGGGAGTTCAAAGGTCTCATTCATTGTCACGTCAGGGGAGGGTGAGCACGATGCAAACTGGCCGGTTCAGGAGACCGAGCATAGCGACGATTTCTCCGATTCCACCGCAGCGGATTTCGCCCCACGAGGTGCTTCAAAGTTCCAGGAGCGCATTCGGAATAAACTTCCCAAACCACTTGATCAGAAGGTCTTGCGACAGAGGGCAACTCTGGGTAAACTCTATGATGCCTGCACGGTATGACGCCATAGCTTATTCATGAGGTTCTCTGCGCCGAAAGCACTTCTAACCCGAATCCTTTCCCTGCAGTCGGCCTTGAACTCGCGCGTCGGACGAAACGACAACGAGCGATTCCTTGAACAATTCGGTTATGTTATCGTCGCGTCTCAATTGTTGAACGAGCACAGTGCGCCTTCCTATACCTCAGCCACGGATGTATTCTCTGCTGCACGACCTGCCGATCTTCCCTCGATTTCCGCGACCTTTGGCCTACAAGGGGCCCTTGTGACTGCGTCGACATCTTTCTCTGTTGCTTGGTTGATACAATGGGGCCGTTCAAAACCCGCATTGGGACTCAGTCCATGGAAGGTCGGGGTGCTGCTGGTATTGGTCCCCGTCATCGGAGTATTCTATTTCGCATTCGCGAAGAGGCAGTGGTTGAAGTATCTGCGGCACCAAGCTGTAGATGCAGCGGCGACATTTATAGGCAATGCTCAGGGATTCGACTCTGCTGCATCGGCATCAGTCGTGTTTATACAGGAAGTCGAGCTGGTCTCGAGAGGCTACCGCATGTAGGTGGCCGTCTCCTTTTGCTCCTATATCTGGCCTTGATTGACCTCCTCCATAGAAGCACGCCTTTGCCACCCATTAGCAGACTTGAAGACCAAACACAAATACGACGATGCTTGAGACTGCGTCGCACCGTATCCGAATCCTTCCACTCTATGCTAGGTCGATACCTCCAAGCACAACAGACCTTACAGCCTCTTACCGATGACGCAAACCTGGCCAAATATTACGACATCTATGACATTTCTGAAGAAGAGCTTGTGGAGGCACAGGGATTATACCAGGACCGAGCGACCGAGGACCAATACTCTCTGCGTGCGTTGCGGACGCTATTCGGAAGACTCTATGTCGTGAGAAAGAGTATTCTCTGTTGTCTTCTCGCCCTTGGGGCCGATGGTGGTGGGTCTGATATTGCGAGATGGACCACTGCTGTCGAACAGATGCGCGACCTGGCCAGCGTGACCGGGGAAAACACCCACAAAATGACCAGCATTCTGAACGAAGAAGACAGTAAGCGTGCCCGTGGTCCAATGCTCGCTCTGAAGCTAATCTTTTTATCGTTTTAGCTGATGCTATTCCTCCTTCTCCTTTACCAACCGCCTCGCCCAACAAGGACAACCTTCGTGCACAGTACCGTCGGATCAACTCCCTTTCCCAAGGGATTCGGGCACTTCACGCAAAAATGCATATTCTCAGAGAGGCATCGAGCGCAAATCTTGAACGGCCGGACTCAAGCGAGTTTGAGGCAACCCTCGTGCCTCAATATGATTCTATCGGTGCTGACATCAAGAGTCTGCTTCAGGAATGGGAGGCGGGCAAGTCAGCACTGGCAAGTGCGCTGGACACACAACCCAACAGAGACTACTCGCGGCCTACGAGTAGTATCAAAATCCCTCTGTCGCCTACCCCTAGCCTTGGGGGGTCCACGGCTGTTGAAGGGAGCCCGGCAGATGCACTCAGGGCTTTGAACGGAGAAAGGCCCGATTCATTCATCATCCACAATGCAGATGACGCAGAGGAGATCTTCGAAGCAATTGCTCTTCCGCCTCGCAATAAAAGGGCATCCATGACCAGAGAAGAGCGCATCGCCCGTGTCAAAGAAGACAGGGCGCGGCAAGCCGCTCTACGCGATCGTGCTGATGCAAACACAAACATGCTGAAGGAGCTTGAGATGGTCATCAAGCAAAGACCTCGCACTATGTATGCGAAGCGTGTTACGAGCATCTGATCGGCAATCCGCACATACTTATCTATTACGACTACTCCATCAGACCTCAGTCGTAATTTCCTCCTTCGATCCTCGCACATCATTTTTCTCTTCAGAGTCTTGTTCTGGTCTCGACTCGAATCCGAACTTAGCCAGCAAATCATGCAATTGATACCCAAAAATGTATAGAGTGGACCGGTGTCAAAGGCGCTTGGGCGGTGTTGCATTCGTTTTTCGCTTTTTCTCTGCATCATTTACTTTATTCGAAGCGTTGCAGGCTCAATATCTCTCTTTTTCAACTGTACACTATCTCTTACTATTCTTCGCCTGCATATTCTTACTCTGTACTGTTTTGCGAATGCACCTATCACTACTGGCAGTCGCCAGTTTATCTCATTTGTCAAGAAGAAATTGCCTTGTGTACATATCTTAACACATTACTTAAATCGATTATAATTAGGGCAACGGTAGTATATATCGTACTAAATATCAAACACAAACAAATCACAACTTCACTCCATTCCGATGCCACTTGCAGTCTTACCTCTCTCATTAAGCACTGGGGCATATGAGGCGCGGGCTGGTGCTGGTCCAAATCCATTCCTGCCTCAGGCCTGAAGGCTAACCGTAACTGGTCATATCAGCCTGTGGTATGACGCGACCCGAACGCGTGCCTCCCCCACTAGTAGGAATAAGAAACCCACGGACGCGACCTTGCTGCACTTTCTGCTCCTTTAGCTAATTTCTCTCTAACTTAAGACACACTCAACAGAACCCTCGACTTCTCCCTGTACGCCTCTTCTCACAGTTTCTTGATCACTGCATTTTCGTCTTATCATATCCACTGATATAATTGCCTTTGCCCAGAACATTCCTACCATCAAGCTCATCTTAATTAGTCCTTACTCTTACCACACCGCCACTACACATCAAGAGTATGCCTTACCAAATCTTCAATCTTCCTCTTGACTGCGATTTTAACTCTTCACAGTGTTGGAAGCTCGCCTCGAACAAGCTAGTCTTCTCAAGCGCGTACGTACCTTCACCATTGAATCCCACAAATGACCCCGCCCCGTCGCTAAGATCAGCTTGTCCAGGTTGTCGACGCGATCAAGGATCTCGTGCAGGACTGCAACTTCGATTGCAATGACTCGGGAATCTCTCTACAGGCCATGGATAACTCCCATGTTGCCCTCGTTTCCATGTTGCTCAAGGCTGAAGGATTTTCTCCCTACCGCTGCGACCGTAACATTGCCCTCGGTATCAACCTGGTTTCCCTGACCAAGGTCCTGCGGGCTGCTCAGAACGAAGATATTCTTACCCTCAAGGCCGAGGATTCTCCCGATGCCGTCAACCTGATGTTCGAGAGTGCCGAGACCGACAGACTGAGCGAGTACGATATCAAGTTGATGGACATCGATCAAGAACACCTGGCCATTCCCGAGACAGAGTACGCTGCTACGGTTGAGATGCCGGCAGCCGAATTCCAGCGCATCTGCAGAGACCTGATGGCTCTTTCTGAGTCCGGTATGCATCCTTACACCACGATGTGGAACAGCATCGAGAACGAGTAGTTGCTGGGTTGAGCTGACCTTTCCACAGTCGTTATCGAGGCCACGAAGGAGGGTGTCAAGTTCTCCTGCCAGGGTGACATTGGTAGCGGCTCTGTCACTGTCCGTCAACACAGCAATGTCGACAAGCCTGAGCAGAGCGTCTCCATTGCTCTCAGTGAGCCCGTCGCCCTCACTTTCTCTCTCAAGTATCTCGTCAACTTCTGCAAGGCTACCAACTTGTCCAACAAGGTGACTCTGTGCTTGTCGCAGGAGGTACCCCTCCTCGTCGAGTATGGTCTGGGAAGCGGCCATCTCAGATTTTACCTTGCTCCTAAGGTTTGTCTCTACGCTGGATACTCATTTGAATTGCCTCGCTGACTAACTTGCGTGCGTAGATTGGTGACGAGGAGTAGACTAATGATTGCGAAGAGCAACGAATGCCATCATGATAAAAGAGGGAGCAACAGGGAGGCCACGATTTCCATTTCTATTTTGTTTCCATTGACACACCGCACCACCAGAAAATATCCCTTGATTGTGTGCACGGGGGTCAAGGTTCACTTCGATTATAATATCCTGTTAGATATCAAGCGTTTCAATTGTTCAAAATTCAATTGGTTTATAAGGGAAATTGGGTATTCTGGTAATTGAACACTTTAAGATGCCGATTCTACATTGCTGTTTTAAAAGCTGGAAAAGCTGCATTGAGACCTAGAATAATGTATTGAAAACTTCTAGTTAAAGCTCTTTGATGCTATGATACCCCTGGTCTCCAGTTCACTTGTTTTCATCCTTGCCATGAGTTGCACCGAATAAGCCCAACCACCGCACCGACACCAACAGCCCGACAACCTAGAAGGCTTGCATGGATGGTGCACCATAAAAGCCCCAAACCCAACAATTAGCGGGGCTTCAAAAAAGCACTTTCCAGTCTCCCACTAAGCGATATAACAATCGCCCAACGAACAAGTGGGAGCGGGGGTGATAAAACTGACCTGGGAAAAAAAGAGGGGTGAAGCGCCATCCCTACCAGAATAATCGGAATCGAATTATACCCAGTCCCAGTCCTTCCCTCAAAAGAGGTGAAGAAAAGAAACCCGAGCATGCTGCGTATTGCACTAAAGTGTCACCAGTGGCACACAATCTTCGCAACGACTCTCCCATGGGGAAACGAGCGAAAAGGGGCCAGTTTCCTGGCTCCTTCACTCCCCCGATGTTTCTGATGCCAGTTGCAGGTGCATATCACACCGGGCCCTTGCGGGCAGTACCGGCTTTTCCTCTTCGTGAAGAAGAGGGGGAAGCGGGTGGTTGGGTGAAGATTCCTCCGAATTTCTCATTTGCAGGGTAAAATTTTTTTTTCTCGGGAGGCCGATTCGTGAGAATCGGCCAAGAACCGAGGAAAAAAAAGACGAGATGGGGATCTCGTCGTGTGTAGCAAAGAAACGCAGCATTGGTAAGGATGGCGCTTAAAGAGAAGAAGAGAAGAGGAAAAGAGTGAGTCAAGTTTGTGGTGGTTTTTTTTAGCTACTAAGCTGCATGGTGGGCTTCACCGCTTTCCTTTACGGGCTCGGGGGGGGGAGGGGGAGGGGGCCGGGAACGAAGCTCTGTTTGCATTGTTTGAATCTCTTTTTCCCTCCATGGGCAGCAGCGCGAATGGGATTCCCTCCTGTCCAATCCATGATCTCCCCGGGTTATGGAGCATACTTGAATTGAGTATGGGTTCCAGGCTTTGGTGACTGTGACTCGAATTTGTGGCCATGATTCTAGACTTTTGACTTATTCGATTCTGAAACTTTGTTGCTGGAGATGATTTTGACCCCTGAGTGTCTGGCATTGAGGGGCTTCGCCTTGATCTGAAAACACCTAGCTGCCTTGAAATTCGGATGGATTGGCAATCCTATCTGCCTACGAAGAACGGTTTGCCTGGCATTGACTTCCTAGATGGACTTCAACGGCTCTTCTACATACCATGCCGCAGAAGCAATAGCTTATCGATGAATCAATTCCTACAGTGAGGGTATATGTATATCTTGTCGCCTCGAGATCACATGATGACAAGCATTCCCCATCTTTTGACACGTCGGACGGAGATAACGCTGTGTGTCTGCAATAGCCGACGAGCTTCCCCTGGCCCCTCGAATGTTTCCATTCATGAGGGTGTTGGACCTGAAATGTGAAACGCTGTACCACGGTACTAACCTCGAGACTTTTTCAAATGACAGTTGTGAACCCACCATCGGTCATCGGGCAGCGGGCGCGCCGCGATGTCGGCGCTAGGAATTCCGTTTCGCCGACTGCCCCAGCGACTGCATAATTGCTGTGCTGAAGATCATCTCACGGTACCGATAAACCAGCGCGATGAATCAGCGCCAAAAATGCAACAAAGCTCTTCCTCTGGATTGGTTCAATTATTTGCTTGGGCCTTGTGGCGCGTCAGACCGGATCTGACGCATGTGGCGAGGGAAAAAAAAGCATGGAAATTCTCCAAAGTCAACCCTCGATTCGAGCACTTGCAGGGGGTGACAGTCGGAGTCAGACAAACTTTAAGCGACCCCTGGCCTCTAAACCGCGAATTCGGCGTGCCAACAAGGCGAAGTGGCTCCGCTCCTGAGTGCAAAATTTGGTCATACCAGCGGGATTGCTGCCACGGGGCTCGGGACCGATCGACTATCTCCGTTCCCCAGGCGCTGTGCCTTAAAAACTTGTACTCAGACTTCTAGTTGTGCATGGCGACTCGGGGGCGCCTGGGCCAATACATTCTAGAATAGCCGTCTCCATCTCGTGGGGCCGGCTTCACCTCCTTCCGGGTTCGATTCATAACCATAGAACTATGATGAATAGGACCAATGGTTTTGTCTCGGGCTGCGGTCTGCGCTTTGCCGACGTCCTCGTTTGGAAGCCTTTTAAATATGAGACTGATGAACGCAGCTTGAGAGGGGAAGGGGTAAATCATACTTAACTAATTGTCCTTCCTGATATACATTCATCCACCTTTGGATTCGCTTGTCCCTATTCAGTCAGTTCGCTTTCGTACAACCTTATTTCCAGAGGGCAACATAGGCCACAACCACTCAGGCTCAGAGGCCCTATCCTCTGAACACTCACTGATTGTTCTAGCGAGTTTATTATCATATCCGGCGGCGCTATGCAGAAAGCTGGAGATGTGCTCGGCGACCATCGGTCGGACTCGAGCGTATCATTAACATCTGAAGACGAGCAGGAGGAGCTTCAAAATCTTACACGAATCGCGTCAAGTCGACATGGCCGGACGCTCTCACACACTGCGACCCTTGACGAAAAGAACGACCCCCGATTGGATCCCACGAGTCCGGAATTTGACCATCGACGATGGGCAGCAATGGTTCTGAGGGCAAATAGTCAGGCAGGAATCACACCACAAACTCAGGGCGTCGTCTTCTCCAACTTGTGTATCTCCGGTTCGGGTTCGGCACTACGCTTCCAGGAAACACTTCTCACGCAGCTGACGACCCCTTTCCGTCGAATCTCCCGACTTCTTTCGGGACAACGGTCGCCTCCCCCACGCCAGATCCTTCACAACTTTGACGGCTTACTTCAGAGTGGTGAGCTGCTTCTGGTACTTGGTCGTCCAGGAAGTGGCTGTTCGACCTTTCTGAAGACTCTTTGTGGACATCTCGGGGGGTTGACTCTTGAACCTCAGAGCAATATCCAGTTCCAGGGACTGGCATACGATGACATGATCAAGCATCATCGTGGCGAAGTCGCCTACAACGGGGAGGTTGACCAGCACTTCCCCCATCTGACAGTTGGCCAGACCCTCTCATTTGCGGCTTATGCGCGTACTCCTCAACGACGCCTCGAAGGTATTACGCGCGAAGAGTATGTCGACACGCTCACCCAAGTCGTTCTTTCGGTGTTCGGCCTCACACAAACCATCAACACCAAGGTTGGAGACAATTTCATTCGAGGAGTTAGTGGTGGCGAGCGCAAGCGGGTCAGTATCGCTGAAATGTTCCTTTCTCGGAGTCGGATCGGAGCCTGGGACAACAGCACTCGCGGCTTGGATTCCGCGTCTGCATTGAAGCTCATCAAGTCATTACGCCTTTCTGCCGACATTGGACAGTCGTGCCATGCGGTTGCCGCCTATCAGGCATCTCAGTCGATGTACGACCTGTTCGATAAGGTCGTCCTTCTGTATGAAGGCTACGAGATCTACTACGGCCCTAGTGATCGCGCTGTGGCCTTCTTCCAGGAGATGGGATGGGAGCTGCCAGAACGTCAAGTTAGTGGCGATTTTCTCACGTCCATCACTAACCCTGGGGAACGCAGGGCACGTCCAGACATGGTCGACAAGGTCCCTCGCACCCCTCAGGAGTTCGCGGATTATTGGAAGCGCAGCCTCGAATACAAAGAGCTTTGCGCTCAGATAGAGCAATATCAACGCGACCACCCAGTCGATGCTGACGAAGCTAGAGAGTTCAAGCAACACCATGAAGAGCGGCAAGCGCGCCATACCAGAGCTCAAAGTCCATACCTTCTATCCGTCCCGATGCAGGTGCGTCTCTGTCTGCGCAGAGCATTTCAGCGACTCCGCAATGATCTTCCCACGGCAATGTCCACCGTCATCGTTCAAGTTATCCTGTCTCTGGTTATTGGATCCATCTTCTACAACTCGCCCAACACAACCACAGCTTTCTTCCAGAAAGGCGCTGTCTTGTATTTCTCCGTCCTCATGAACGCTTTGGTTACGATGAATGAGATCATGCAACTATACAGCCAAAGGCCGATTGCCTCGAAGCAGGCAGGCTATGCGTTTGTCCATCCATTTGCTGAATCCCTCGCCAGCATAATCATGGACCTACCGATCAAATTGATGCGCTGCTCCGTCTTTTGTATTGTCCTCTACTTCATGACTAACCTGCGCCGGGAACCGTCACAGTTCTTCATCTACTACCTATTTCTCATTATGGCGATCCTGACGATGTCGGGAATCTTCCGGACATTAGCTGCAGCCACCAAGACGGTTACGCAAGCTATGGCAATGGCAGGTGTGATGATTCTTTGCATCGTGGTTTATACCGGTTTCACCCTACCGCAACCCTACATGCACCCATGGCTCTCTTGGATCCGCTGGATCAACCCGATCTTCTATGCCTTCGAGGCATTGGTGTCTAATGAGTTTCATGGGCGGAACTTCCCTTGTGCATCGGTGATCCCAAGCTATGGTACGGGGTCTTCGTTCATCTGTTCAGCCGTGGGAGCCGTAGCTGGCGAACGCTACGTTTCCGGCGATGCCTTTATTGAACAGAATTACGAGTATTACTACTCCCACATCTGGAGAAATTTCGGTATCCTCCTGGCCTTCATGATCTTCTTCACCTGCACCTGCTTGTACTTCTCCGAAATCAACACCGGCGAGTCATCCAAGGCAGAGACTCTGGTTTTCCGCCCGGGTCATGTCCCTCAGTTTTTGGCCGCCTCGGAGGGAGTGGAAGGTGGTAAGGCAGCTCCCCCGAAGCCGGAATTACAAAGCAACGAGGACGAAGTCATTCATCTTCCCGAGCAGACGGACATTCTCTCATGGAAAGCCCTCAACTACGACATCCCGGTCAAAGAGGGTACACGACGGCTTCTGGACAATGTCAACGGATGGGTCAAGCCTGGCACATTAACGGCACTGATGGGTGTTTCGGGCGCCGGTAAAACCACCCTTCTGGATGTTCTTGCTCAAAGAGTCTCCATCGGCGTGGTGACCGGTGACGTTGTGGTCAACGGGCGACCGCTGGCGGCCAATTTCCCCCGGAGGACCGGTTACGTGCAGCAGCAGGATCTTCACCTGGAAACCACTACCGTTCGTGAAGCCCTCCGTTTCAGCGCGATGCTTCGCCAGCCCAGGTCTGTGCCTAAGGAAGAGAAATTCGAGTACGTGGAAGAAGTCATCAAGATCCTGCGTATGCAAGACTTTGCCGAGGCTGTGGTAGGCTCACTGGGCGAGGGCTTGAACGTGGAACAAAGAAAACTACTCAGTATCGGTGTTGAGTTAGCGGCCAAGCCGACGCTTCTGATCTTCCTGGATGAGCCCACCAGCGGTCTGGATTCTCAGAGCTCCTGGACCATTTGCTCGCTTCTGCGACGACTGGCGGACCACGGACAAGCAGTGCTGGCCACGATCCATCAACCGAGTGCCCTGCTGTTCCAGACATTTGATCGCCTGCTCTTCCTCGCCAAGGGAGGTCGAACCGTCTACTTTGGTGATATCGGCCCGAATTCCCAGATCCTGCTCGACTACTTCGAACGCAACGGCGGCCGAACTTGCAGCGACCTGGAAAACCCGGCGGAATACATTCTCGAAATTGTCTCCGGGGATAACACCAAGGGACCTGATTGGGTGCAGGTCTGGAACGACAGCCCCGAGTTCAAGGCGGTCCACGCCGAGGTCACCCGGCTCCAGGATGCTCAGCAACAGCCGGAGCCCCAGATGCATCCCGGTGATGACAGCGACGCGGAGTTCGCGATGCCGCTGACCAGCCAGCTTTACTACGTCCTGCAGCGAGTGTTCCAGCAGTACTACCGCCAGCCCGAGTACCTGTTCTCGAAGTACGTGCTCGGCATCATCTCCGGTCTCTTCATCGGTTTCTCCTTCTTTAAGTCCAACAACACGCAGCAGGGATTTCAGAACACCCTCTTTAGTATCTTCCTGCTGTGCACGATTTTCAACACCTTGGTCAACCAGATCATGCCAAAGTTCGTTCGGCAGCGTGCTCTCTACGAGGTCCGCGAGCGACCCTCGCGAGTCTACTCGTGGAAGGTTTTCATCATCTCACAGGTGCTCGTCGAGATCCCTTGGCAGATTGTCCTGGGCATCTGCTCCTGGGCCTGCTACTACTGGACGGTGATAGGTACCGGCCAGGACGCTGAGCGACATGGCCTCGCCCTGCTGTTCATCGTCCAGTTCTTCATCTATGCATCCAGCATGGCCCAATTGGTCGTCTGCGCGATCGGCGAGCCCACCCTCGCTGCCATGCTGGCCACTCTGATGTTCGGTTTCTCCTTCATCTTCAACGGCGTTATGCAGCCCCCCGGTGATCTCCCCGGCTTCTGGATCTTCATGTACCGCGTCTCCCCGTTCACCTACTACATCGGCGGCATGAGCAGCACCATCCTTCACGGCCGCTCGGTGGAGTGCAACGCCGCGGAGCTGAGTGTCTTCGACCCGCCCGCCGGCCAGACCTGCGGCCAGTACCTGGATCGCTACGTCTCCGCCGCCGGGGGTCAGCTGTACAACTCCAACGCCACCGCGGGCTGCGAGTATTGCTCCATGTCCTCCGCGGACCAGTATCTGGCGCTCCGGTGGATCTACTGGGATGAGAGATGGCGGAACTATGGCATCTTCTGGTGTTATTGGGGATTCAACGTCGTGGCGGCCATTGCTCTTTACTATGTGTTCCGCGTGAAGAAGTGGGGGAGGAAGTAGATGGGGTAAGCGCCTTGCGCCCGCCGTCAAGGATCTTTCTTTTTTATTTCTTTCTGCATCTGTTCTACAATTGTACATGAGCATATGTGGAAGGCTTCTTTGCATTTCTGTATCTAGATAGTCGGTTTTGGCATAGCGTATAATGCATGACAATTCTCCAATCGTGTCATGGGAGTTGCTTGGGGACGCAGCCGCGCGCAAGTTCCCATGATAGTGGGCAAGCGAGTGATAGGATGTATCATCTGAGGCTGAAAGGCTGAACACAAGTGGCAGTGTACAAGACCAGTCTTTCAACCTCCCATCTACAAGATAGTAGGAAATAAGCATTGAGCCCTAACTGGCAGGTATATTCCCCAATCTAGAATAGCCCCCCGCAACCCGGCAGAATCACCGGCTGTGTTGTGGTGAGCCTGAGGTGGCGGTAGCGCCACAGTTGGCCCGGAAATTTCATTAAGACTTTTCTGCCTGACAACCAACATCTAGTCCCCACATGATTGGCTCCTGGTTCAGCGGTGTGGTCGTAAACAGGCCCCTCCAATTTTTGGTCCTGCAATACATACAGTACGGATACTGGTTAATGATAAGATTCTTGACTTGTGAGAACTATTGTCAGTCCGTTTGGGGGTTACAATCTAAATCTAAAATTGAGCATCCTTTTGATGATCAAGTCGGACAATTTCCACATGAAAAAGACGTGTAAAGTTGGAGCTGAAGTATAGATTACCAACCTGGACAGCCTGATTGCTACCGCAGAAAGGAGTCGAAAGTGATGGAAAGCGATGGAAGAGGACCGAAAGCCATGGAAACACTTCCAGGCGCGCTCGGGCCAGCAAAGCGGCGGATGACGGGGCAGTCGAAACAACGAGAACATCATCATTCAGTCTGAGGATAAGACACCTACTCACTATTCTCGCCCTCTCAATTGGTTCAAAAGCAGCCTGGTTGCGTCTGGTCTGGAAGGGATGGTTACGTTGTCTATCTTTCTAGTTCTTTCTCAGTTCAATCCTCCTCATCCCCCTAATACCAAAGTAATCTTTTCATAATTTTCTATACTTCCGGACTTTCGCCACATCGTATCTCCGGTATCAAAATCCCTGAGATCGCCCGCAACGCTTGGCAAACTTGGTGCCTGTTACCGGTAATTTACCAGTGACCAAACTCCGCCTCTTTTCTTTCGCCGCCTGAGGCTTGCTGTTGCTCCCTTGGCTTTGATAATCCCGAACGAGTTGTCTTGTCTCTCTGTTCAACAACTTTCTTATCCCACTTTCTCTCCTCTTCTCTCCTCTCCTCTCGTCTTCTCCTCCGCTTTCTCTCACCCTTGTCCACTCCTCTCTTTCACGTCTCGTCGCTGTGCGCGCTTCTTTGCTCGAAAACCGGCGCTTCTGATCCCCGTTCTCGCCCTTCGTCGCTTTTTTCAATACCCTCTGCTGTAGACTTGCCGGCTGAATCTCTCTCGCCTTCTCACTTTCCTCCGAAAAGTTCTTTGATTTCGATATCACTCGATACCCCCCTCTTCCGTCCCCTTAAATTTTTCAGATTTAGATCAAAATGGTCAAGGAAACCAAGTTCTACGACACCCTCGGGGTACGTTTTCCTGCAAATTTGAGTTTTGGTTTGAAACTTGCGGATTAACAGCGAGACGGACAGGTCGCCCCCACGGCCACTGAGGCCCAACTTAAGACTGCCTACAAGAAGGGTGCTTTGAAGTATCACCCTGGTATGTGCTTCCACAGTCGCGAATGCGCCAGTTATCTCGTTCGGTACACTAATCAGTGTTCCTACACCGACAGACAAGAACACCAACAACCCTGAAGCTGCCGAGAAGTTCAAGGAGTTGTCCCACGCTTACGAAATCCTGTCCGACCCCCAGAAGCGTTCCCTCTACGACCAGCTCGGTGAGGAGGGTCTCGAGCATGGCGGTGCCGGCGGTGGTATGGGCGCTGAGGATCTGTTCGCCCAGTTCTTCGGCGGCGGCGGCGGTGGTTTCGGGGGCATGTTCGGCGGCGGCATGCGCGACCAGGGCCCCAAGAAAGCCCGCACTATCCACCACGTGCACAAGGTCAACCTGGAGGACATCTACCGCGGTAAGGTGTCGAAGCTGGCTCTGCAGAAGTCTGTCATCTGCGCGGGCTGTGACGGTCGCGGTGGTAAGGAGGGTGCTGTCAAGTCCTGCACGGGCTGTAACGGCAGCGGTATGAAGACGATGATGCGCCAGATGGGTCCCATGATCCAGCGCTTCCAGACCGTCTGCCCCGACTGTAACGGCGAGGGCGAGATCATCCGCGATAAGGATCGTTGCAAGAAGTGTAACGGCAAGAAGACCGTGGTCGAGCGTAAGGTCCTCCACGTCCACGTGGACAAGGGTGTCAAGAACGGACAGAAGATCGAGTTCCGCGGTGAGGGTGACCAGATGCCCGGCGTTATGCCCGGTGATGTTGTCTTTGAGATCGAGCAGAAGCCGCACCCTCGCTTCCAGCGCAAGGATGACGACCTCTTCTACCAGGCTGAGATCGACCTGCTCACCGCTCTCGCCGGTGGCACCATCAACATTGAGCACTTGGATGAGCGCTGGTTGACCGTCAACATCGCCCCTGGCGAGGTTATCACTCCTGGTTAGTATTCCCAGCTTAGCCCGTTGTCCGGCTCCTTAACTGACAAACTCCGCAGGTGCTATCAAGGTCATCAAGGGCCAGGGTATGCCTTCCTACCGCCACCACGACTTCGGCAACCTCTACATCCAGTTCGACGTCAAGTTCCCTGAGAAGGATCAGCTCAAGAACCTCGAGTTGCTCGAACAGGTCCTGCCTCCCCGCTTGGAGCAGGCCAAGCCCGCGGCTGATGCCATGGTTGAGGACTTCGAGATTGAAGACATTGACGGCAGCGATTACTCCCAGGCGCGCGCCCATGGAGCTGCCAACTCCATGGACGAGGATGACGATGATGTTCCTCCTGGTGCTGAGCGCGTGCAGTGCGCCTCTCAGTAAACCGTTCTGGGAGAGGGACAGTAGTAGATGCATGATGATGATGCGCTGGGGCTTTCTGAGATTCGCTTATGATACCATGTGGGGGGTTTCTGCCCTGGTGCTGTTGCTCGGTTTTGTTTTTGTGTTTCTCATGTGATGACATTGACACTTGCGATGGCGTTTGCACTGAAGAATTCGGAAGATGACAATGGATATTTTCTTTTCTTTTCTTTTCCTTGCTTGCATTTCTCTTCTTTCTATCACCATTTCCAATCCGACACTTTGAGATTCCCATGTTCAATGTTCTCTTTTCCCGTGTTCCTTGGCCTTCGGCTCTTCTCTGTGGGGAAAACGAAGCCGATGGAATTTGATGAATAGATTGATGAGATCATGACATTTCACAGAGTAACTTCTCTTTTCTTTCTCTTCTCTCCGTCGGCTTTCCTTGTTTACATGTGGATGGGCAAGGGCCTGTTGGGAAGAGGAGACGAGGTCAAGTGTTTTCGTTTTTCTAAAGTTCCATAGACTACCAGCGCGACTTTGGGTATCGCATGTCATACTTCAGTTGTGAGCCGAGTTCCCTTCATCTGTATTCGCATTCCATTCTCATAGACTGTGGGCAAAGTAGCCGTGGCCACGCTTCTGGTATTTGCATATATGTAGATGTATCTTTTTCCACGATACTAGCAGCCCTCCCTCGCTACTGGGCAGGCTGAACAATTGTTTGGCATCGCTGTCCTCGAGGATAAGAAACTATTACTATATCAGAATACATAAAACAGTTGGCCCACTGCAAAAATAAAAGGAGACAAAATGATAATCGCGAGGGTCTGATTCTCATAAGCCGCGTCTGATCAGCAAACTCATCAGCTATCATAGAAGATTGTCTCCATAGAAATCAGGAAAGCCCACGTATAGTGCCCACTGGGCCAGCATGACAATCTGGCCGATTCGCAAAGACCAGACCAAGTTCCCTAGCTTGATTGATCGATAGCTTGAATGCATGACCCACCCAGATATGATCCCAATGTCTCAGATTATATACATATAGTATTACTCAGTAGAGAACCCTGATGTAGTAAAACCTTTTGACTCAAAAATACCCTACTACCCCTGATAATACTTCCGATCCTGATGTAATGCGTGTTCGTGTGACTTCTTTCAAGCCCCATGGCGTTGAGATAGCAAGGATCAGGCGGTGCTCAAGATGCCTTGAGGAGGTGGTCCAAGTGATTGGTAAGGAATGGTATACCACCGGCAGACTTAGACTTGGAGTTCTTGAAAAGCGGCCCACCGTCGTAGACAAGAGCCCTTGCTTAAAGGATCTTTTACCGCCAGAAAGGACCCTGCATTTCCTGAAGGCATCGTCGCAAACTTGTGCTGGAGGGGTCGACTTCTCATCCTCCCGTTCGATTTCCCATCCTCTTCATTCGACTTCTTATCCTTGTTGATGTAGTACTCCTCGCGCATCTAGGATACCTTCGATCGAGACTGCCTAGCTGATGGATATAGAATCTCAACTGAAGGTAAGCGCCGCCAACCTGGGCCGGGGTTTCGACTTCATGGGATGTGTCCGCCGCCCCCCTGAAGGCATCTTCGCCAACCTGCGCTGGAGTTTCGACTTCCAATCGTCTTCCTTCAACTTCTCACCCTTCCTGTCGGTGTGGTGTAGTACTTGCCGATCTTCCATTTCCACTTCGAGTCTGATGGCCACGGATCGATTCCGCTTAGCTGGTGCACGTGAATCCGCAACGAGGTCTGTCTCCCCTGCTTCTTTCTCCTCTAAACTCGCCCTCGCCATCTCAAAGAACTTGTCAATGACCCGGCTAAACTTCTTTCTCCCCGATGAGTAATGCTTCTCGAGAGGCGAGACAAGATGCTGAGCTTCGTCTTCTCTTCTACAAGCGGAGCACATCGCATCATCATCTGTGCGAGCCCGGTCGCAACCGATTGTAAGAAAGACAATGACCCTTCCAACTCCATATTGCACATGCCGCATGTCACGATACGATTTGCTTTCGAGTTCTTGTTTCTTGGTACTTTGGTCTGCGGTCACTGACCTAGTACTACAATGTAGCCTAGGTTGATGAGTGGCACTGGGGCTGGGGATTCGGCTTCAGTGGCAAAGCAGACTTAGCTGTCCCTTGTTGATAGCTTTGGAGATTTTCCACTGCAAATAGGATTCTTTTTTCGACACCATTAGCTAAAGTTGAGGAAAGAAAAGAGCAAGGTGAGCTTCCGGGAAAGGTAATGATTTGGCGAGGGTCCACTCAACCAGTTTTTGCTTTTGCTTGGAGTTGAACTTCCAGTATGTAGCAGCAGTAGCAGACTTAGCGGCTTTGTAAATAGCCTCGGAGATTATTTCCACTGCAAGCAGAATTCTTTTTTGGCACCATTGGCTGAAGGTGAGGTAGAAAGAGCACGATTGCCGGGAAAGTAATGATTCGGTGGAGTCAACTCAACCAGTTGCTTGTAAAGCTGAACTTCCAGTGAGTATATCAGACGCATTGTCTTTGATGCCAAGGTTAAACGGCTAGTAAAAAAGGCGAATCACTAGCCCATAGTCGAGGTGTTGATAGTTACCAGAACTCCCGACTATCAAATGCATACACTTCCACATTTTGGAGTGCCATTTTCAGTCTCAACATTGGCCAAGGCCGTTTCCACTGAATTCCCAGCCAGTCCCCGGTCATACAGGTTAAATCAATAGTAGGAAAGACCACAACTCCCTCTATGATCGAGCCTCTGGTAATCAACTGACGACCGCCCAGCGAATGGGTACACCTCGATGGTGAAATGATAATCATTGCTGACCATAAAGAGTGGTTGGTACAAAGAACATGCCTCTGCAGAAATGGTCTGGCCGGGTCAATTCTACCCTGAACTTATGGGTCAAGGTTCCGGCAATCAAGAGACGAGGGTTCCTCTTGATTATAACCTTGAACAAGGCATAGAACAAACCACAACTTCCGCCATGGTCCAAGCGCTGATAGTCGATCGACGAGCGTCCATCATAAGAATATACTTCGACATCAAAATAATAATTGTCGCTGTTGCTGACCAGACAGAAGTGTGGTTGGTCATAGAAGTGGACCAACCACTCTCCTGTCTGATCGGGACATGCCCAAATTGGACATGTCTCAGATTGCGGAACTCCGACAGCCTTGAATACTGAAACCAGTCTTCACTCACAAATGGAACGTTGAAGAACTCGATCCTCCTAATCACATTCGAATGGACGACTAAGAAGGTGAAGAACTCTACCTGTGCCCTGAAAAGGACAGCGGCAGGTCCATGCAGTTTTTTGGCCGGATGGCCGGGGAACTCATACGAGCACGATTATTCCTGGGCAGAATTATCTAGGGATCACAAGCAAGTGCCCTGCCCATTCTCCAAAGGGCAGTGATGCATCCCTGAACGGGCTCGATTCTGGATGCCCTTTGATCCGCATTATCATGCGGTCAATATCTTCAGAGACCAGGCGAAGCCCCCTACTTGAGCTGGTGGCTGTCGCACGGGCTCACGGGGGCTCATATCGAAAGATCTCAGTCTGAAATTTGGTCATCGAGACGGCTTAAATTCTGTAGGCTAGGGATCTCGATCCTCATCACCTGGGATTGGGTTTCACTCCCATAAGCTAGGAAGAGAAATGATCGTGTTGCTGATGATTTGTCAGCCTGACTTCATCAGGCATCTTGGAGCGCACAACAGTGAGATCGTCACCGAGGAATTCGCACAGGCGCTCCACTTGCGAATTCGTCCCAGTGTCAAGCAGCGGCGTATCCCCTCCATCGAGAATGATGGTGCCAACATCCTCAGGCACAATGACGCCCTGGCAGATAGCCTTGGCCAGCTTTCCAAAAGTGGTCGCAGTCGATTTCTAATCCCTCCGGCCAGTATGTCAGCTCACAGGCTCATTGAGATCAAGATCAACAAGGCATACGTACTCTACCCCGTTGTAGTTCCGAGCAATAATTGCTCCTGTCTCTGCGGCGTGGACTGCCGCCTCTTTTGTATCTGTCACAAAGATGGAGCCACGAGTCGCAAAGAGCTTCGAGGCGCCGATCCTCTTCGGTCCACGCCATTTTTTGATCGTCGATATGGACCTTCGTGGCCGCATCACAGCACTCTTCATGGCGCCTTGGACTGATGTTGAGGTCCTCAAAGTGCTGATATAGTATCAACCTTGTAGCTGACGGCGGAAACCTACGCGCTGCGCCCGGGGGAACTGGCAGGGAGAATAGGAGCTGGAGGCGAGGCCATGAAACAAAGATAGTGGCGAGTTCTAACTTGGAATCACCTTTCCTCTGGGCTTTGAGACTTCCAGGCGTTGGTGGATGTATGAAGAATGAGGATGGATGAAGGAGGAGGAGGAGGAGGAGGAGGAGGAGGAAGAAGAAGATGGATGGAGGAGGAAAGAAGGAAAAAAAGGAGAGGGGAGAGGGCCTTTTTATGTTGCAAAGGAGGGTGGGAGGACGACGGTGAAGAGGATGAATGGTCTCGGATTCAATGGTTGAGAGATTCTGCTTCATTCATTGATGGACAATGGTGAAGTTATCCAGGCGCTGCCTTGAATGTAGGGTCAGCTTTATTCATCAAGTATTATGGCTTTCCAGACAACAACCGCTCGAACCTCTTTTCTGCTACATTAACTGTAGCTGGCAGTCTCCCAGACCTTAACTCGGACCAATTCAATAACTTGGAATTCCGGTTTCTTCACTGAGAGGCTGTATGTAAGTTTGAGGCTTCTATTGAGGTTGTTGGGGCTCATCAAGAAGTAACAAATACTTTATAAAGCTACAATAATCAAATCGTTTCAACAAGATCCGATGTGGTGTAATGGCTAACATCGCTGTCTCTCACACAGCAGCTCGGGGTTCGATTCCCCGCATCGGAGTTCTCTTTTGCTTTTTTTTTTTGTCTGTTCTTGCATAGCAACGTCTATCTACCCCAACGCACGACTAGAGGGAAGATTTTACCCCGGCTGAGAAAAAAAGTACGACAGTGATGTTGTACATTACCCCCCCCACACAGCAATTGTTCGTCCATCCAATCCACCAACCACATCCGCTTTCCATGGCCGATTGATCAAGGTCTATCTAGAAAGATAGATAGATCAAAAAGAAAACTCCGATGCGGGGAATCGAACCCCGAGCTGCTGTGTGAGAGACAGCGATGTTAGCCATTACACCACATCGGATCTTGTTGAAATGATATCACAGCATTTGCTAACAGAATTTAATTATGAGAGCCCCTCTGGTGTAATCGCTGACATCGGGCTGGACTTCCAAGCATACAACATCACAACCCAGAGCACAAGATTCTGCTCCTTGGCGACCCGTCATATTTCCGGCCATGGTGTCTTAGGCACGCATGGTACTCAAAACGTATAGTACATAGATCAGAGCGAATGCCCTGCGGGCGTTCCTCTTCTTTTCTACCCATGAACGGAGTTCTTGGTTGTCTCGATCATCTCTTTCCCATAGCCCCCCATCCGCCATCTATAGACTACATCTATAGACCGCACCACTTGAAGCCTCGGCCAACATGGAAGCCAACTGTCGAAGAGATCTCTGTAGATGAAAGCCCGACATGCACTTTGTATTGACCCTCCTTTACCTCCCAGCAGTGCTGTTGAGCATTGTAACTGCTGACACTGTATTTATCCAACGTGACAGACATATCCTGCTCTTCGCCGGGCTGCAGGCTCAATCTTCGGAACTCTTTAAGTTCTTTCAATGGTCGTTGGCTCTTCACCCGGTCCCGTGGCGGGCTGACGTAGTACTGAATGACAGTTGCGCCCCTTCGTATCCCGATGTTCCGAACCCGACAAGAGACTACCACCGTGCCTTCTGGATCTGAGATCGACGTGTCCGTGATGCGAACTCCGAAGACCCTGAAGTCGGTATAAGAAAGGCCGAACCCAAATGGAAACAGTGGATCTGGGTTCTCCGGGCGATCATAGTATCTATAACCAACATCAAGCCCTTCGGCGTATCGGACCACGTTGTTCTCGTCGCACGGGAAGTTGGCAAAGCTGGGATTGTCTTCATCTCGACGTGGCCACGAGAAGGGGAGACGACCGCCGGGGTTCGTGTCTCCGCCGAGCACGCGTGCCAATGAACGACCAGCTTCTTGACCTGGAAACCATGCTTGCACAACTGCTGGCACGGAATCTATAAACTGGGTGAGCCCAACGGGTCCTCCGCTGAAATTGACCACGATTGTGCGAGGGTTTACCGCAGCGACAGCGGCGATCTGCTCGTACTGAAGGGACGACAGATCCATAGACTCCCGATCGAATCCTTCAGATTCAATCTCGTTGGTCGTTCCCACGCAGACGATGGCATACTTCACTTCCTGTGCTACTGTACGCGCATCTTGAATTCTGCTGGGGATATCGATAAACTCATGAAACCGCAGAGCGGACCCTTGGAACATTCGACCGAAGAGGGGCTTGGCATAGAGAATAAGAGGATCGGTATTCCACGATTCCAGCATTAGCGTGTATGATTGACCTGCTTGCATTGAGTAGGTAAACCGTCGCTCCAACTTCGATTTGAAAAAGTAGAAAGATTCTGGACGCAAGTCGGCTTCTTGAGGTCTCTCAAAAACCTTTTCATCATTGATATAACAGACTGCAGGCCCGGTCGAAATGATAGACAAGATGTGCTCCCCAGACGTTAACGGACGAATACCAAAAGTCATTCGGGTGCAGTAGTCTTGGCCGAGGTAGTCCGGCCATTTCTCCTTGATCATGTACTCTGCCTGCTCTTTGGTCTCTGAAAAGACCGGGTTCTTACCAATCACATGGCCATTGAACCATTCCAGCTTCACTGGCTCCTTCGCCTGCATCTTAGTATCTGAGGAAAACATGATTGAAGGATCAGCATGCGGCAGGGAACCAAATACTGGGACTCCAGGCACAGCCTTGACTTGAAAGCCAGCTTTACCGAGCCCCTCTATGGGAGAGACAGCGTGCAGGGAATCTACCCGGGCACTCCCTCCTCCACCAAGACTGGCTTCCATAGCGTGGTGTCCTATTAAAGCCACTGTGACACCCTTTGGCAGTGGAAGAATATTTTCGTTCTTTAAGAGAACCATACCCTCTGCACCACTGTCACAGATAAACTCATCTCTGTCAAGGTTCTCGACTGCATCTTCGGGTGGTTCCTCGGGATGCTCGAACCTCTTGAGACGACAAGCAAGCTGCAAGATTCTGCGGGCTGACTCGTCGACGACCTGCTCAGCTACCTGCCCATCATTTACCGCTCGCGCGAGCTTCTCCCCGCGCCATCTCGTTGGCCCGGGCATTTCCAAGTCCACCCCTGCATTTATGCTGTCTGCAGTAGAGTAAACTCCCATCCAATCTGAGACAACGACACCATCAAAGCCCCATTCGTCTCGCAGGACCTGATTGACTAGTTGGGGACTATCAGCAACATATGTCCCATTCACGCGGTTATAGCTGCACCATGAAGCCAAGTCAGTCAATTCGTTGTCCGGTGAGACCACTGCCTTGGTGACCAGGTCGCATACCTGGCCATGAAACAAAGTGGCTTAGCCCATCTCATCAGTAATTGAAACGGAAGCATGTAGATCTCTCGAAGAGTTTGCTCGTCAATTTCGGCGGTTAGAGTTCTGCGGTTGTTCTCGGTGTCGTTGGCCACATAGTGCTTCGGAGTGGCGGCAATACCAATGGACTGGCAACCTAGTTGAATCAGGTAAACAAATTGGCAAAGGAGAGGGGCCTGCGATTGCAGATCCCACCATTGACAAAGGCTGCCGCCAGAGCTCCCAGCACGAAGGGGTCCTCGGAGTAAGTCTCATAATTCCGCCCCCCTAGGAGATATCATTAATGTTGGCCTGTGCCTCACTGCGTAGATTGCAGGGTTAAATTACCTCGAGGGGAACGTATGACATTCATGGTAGGAGCGAGTAGGACATTCGCGGCTTTTGTCTGAGCTTCGCGGGCGATCTCCTTTCCTGTGCGGAAGAGCAGCTCGCGGTCAAAGGTCGCCCCAAGGCTGGTGCCGCAGGGGAAGCAGGCAGCTTTGATGCCACTGACATAGCTCCCCCCTCGCGCACCGTTGGGACCATCTGTGAACTGTACAAGGCGGGATAGATTAGCGTTTGGCTTGAAGTGCATCGTGCCATCGGGGCAAAGTGTCGACCGAGCGAAGGAAGCCGACCTTGACGTGTGGAACGAAGACATCATCGCGCTTTATGACTCGCGTGCGCCACCAGTCGGCTGCTGCCAGTAGAGAGATCTTCTCCTCACGAGTGAGCTTGCTCAGCAGCTTGTCTAAGTCCTGTGAGTCGCTCATCATTGGAACGGCAGGGGGATGGCAGGGGAAGGGCGGGGGGATGGCAGGGGGATTGGCTGTAGACAGCATAGATGGACAATGGAGATGGGAAGTGTAGATGGACGATGGGTTTTAAATAGTGACGGTGGATCAAATGCTATGGCGTGCTGTGCCGCCATAGCATTTGATCCACCGTCCGGTCACTCTAAACTAATTAGTATCTACCCCGCTTATTCTACCTCGCATGCAGCATGGTTGATTGTTTGCCAAGTTGAAATAAGCTGTTACTCAGTAGATTACCTTGCCGACGCATCCGGACTGTGAGTGACAATGACCATCATGTCATTTAATTCGGTCGATTAAGGCTATCTTATGACTGATGAAAGAGCCGTCTCGGGTTCCGCCCCCTGCTTGCTATACTGGACCGGCCCGGTATAGTCTCTCAGAATCTAGGCTTCATATCACCTCGATCTGGTGCTGAGAATCTTTCCCTCGGTGTGTTGCTGGCGTGGAGCTTGCGTCAGTAGACAAAATCCTTTGCTTGCAGCTGCATTTGTCATTTGTCCTTTGGGTCATGCCTATTTTTTCCTGTATGCGGCCGAGCCCCCACTCAGACATGGCTCACAGCTCTTGTTCTTGACCTCGCTACTGGAGTGATTCGGACTGATAATTGTCGGGTCGAGGCCTCGGCTTTCACATTTACCTGCCAACGAACTATATTTCCCGGCATTCCTGTTCGACTGGCGGAGCACAGTGCCTAACTGTATGAACCAGCGACGCAGTTCATCGGTAAAACCCCCATGAATGTTCTTGCTCTATTTATTTGTACGCCATTCCAGATGAGAAAGTCGACAACTTGTTAAAGAAGAGGTCACTGTGCACCCTTGATAATAGCCAAGGTGTAAGACAGTCGAGTCGTGTTCGGCAACGAGGAATGGGCGAACCTGGATCGTCTCCCATATTTTGAAGATAGGCAACAGGCAAGAAAACAAAGCAGGTCAGTGAATATACAAGAGACATCGCATGCAAATTCTATCGAAAGCAATAGCAAAAATGCATTAAGAAACCAGTCGAACGACAACAAGCACAACAGCAGAAACAACAGGTTCAGGTGCGGGGGCGGGTAAGAACCATGGGCGCTAAGAGTTCCGCTAGTTAGCCCTAACTGCATGGCTGAAAGACCAGTTTCGCTATAAACAGAGTAATTGTTCACTTTGCCCAGTGATTGGAAGTGCAGGTGCAGTGACTGGAGAGTAATCATAGCTTAGCTGTGCTGAATCCTCATCTACAGGTTCTCAGTTTTAACCTGATATCACCAAAGTGTTTATATCGACATTTTGTATGGCTGCCATGGATATCCGCAGGTATGGAGAAAATTGGCAATTCGATTATAAGCGGACGATGGGTTGGATCTGAGTTGCAGCAGCGATGTTCGACATTCTGGTGTGTCTGGATGATTGCTTGATCGTCTGCACTTCCGGCATCTCTAGTGAAGTTCTGTCTTCTCCTTTAAAGTCAGCCACCTTGCCTGTGAGATCATTATTCGCAACATCACTTATCGTCCTAGGGTTTTGAGGTTTACAGATAGATGACCAGTCGACTTTGGCAAAATGTGTCTAGCTTCCGCCCAAAGATGCCGACAATAAACGTAGTCCCATATGATGGCGTGAGTATATGTCAGTTGCGGAGAGCAACTCGGCTGTTCACGTCGTCTAAGTTCGAGAGCATTGAGACTTGTTTAGTATGACATCTCAAATACATCGGACTTATGTCTAATTGCAGGCCTGTACTCATTATGATGTCCTGGCAGTAGATTAGATGAATTTGCAAATTACCTCATAAGGCCGGCATGGGTGTGCAATTTGTTGTGGACATCCTCCACGTCTATCATGAACAGATTTATGCCAAGCTTGCATGAGAGTGACAGGCGAGGAGTATAGTTTGTCTACCCGATTGAATTTTGCTTAACTGAGTCTTTCTTTGTTTCTTAGTCAGGGTCACACACAAATTCTGAGTATGCAAGAGGAGCAGTGAAGGCACGGTAGAATGTTTGCTTAGTGCGTTCATGCCTCAGGGCGCGGACGACAGCGCTGCCGACTAAGCAACAATGGAGGGACCAGCGCAGCATACCATGTTCTTTGTATTGACCATCTGATACACTCACTGCCTGAGGTCCTCCGTGTTATTTTCTTGCGTTTGTTGTTCAGAGCTTTTTCCCGTCTCATCTGCCATCCTTTTTCTCTGCACGCCTTCCTGTCCCTGTCCCTCCTCATTCCTTTTATCATCCTAAGTATCAAGCCACGTCTCTGGGGAGCAATACGCAGTCTCTTCCAGCTTACAGCCTCACTGGTCATTTTCAAAGAGCCTGTATATCCCCGGAGGCCCAGTCAGAAGACTGTGGCGCTTCGGGAGATTCACAGCGCTCCGAAATAAGGCTTCGTCTGGCTGCGTTTTGGGCTTTTCCCTGCTTCTAACCTACGCTCCAAAGGACGAACTACCTTCAGATTCGAGATTAGTCAAGCTCGAGCCTTCATCTATTTGTTCTCCAACTGCTCTTGATCAACATGGACTACTTCTCGTATGTTCCGGGCGATCCTAACCCGGTGGACACACAGCCGATGGACATCATCGGTGACAATCAACATCACTCTGCCATGATCGAAGACAAAGACCTGGAGATTATGGAGGCCGAGAACGAGAAACTTGATCAGCTGGTGGCCCAATTTACTAGAGGGTTCGAACCATCCACCCTCCGTAACGAGGTGATATCAGCCCTGCAAAGTCTCGCACAATCCGCTTTCCCGGGGACATATGAGCATCTCTTAATGCTCTGCTTCACAACCGACGATGAACTACAGGACATGCAAGAAGAGCTCGAGAGATATCTCCTGTTACGCTATGGGCAGGTTCCCAATGAGCTCGTCCCGCGGGCCACGACCAAAATCACCGACGAGTCTTATTTTGCATCGGAGATTGAGACCCTGAGAAGACTCCTCGAGCCATTGCGTGGCGACTCGACGAGCCCCGTCTACTGGCTGAGTCTTAGACGCGCGAACCCGACCAAGGCCCGGCAGCAACTCGAAGCAGCGACCAAGGTGATCAACGCTTTCAAGAAGGACGTGCTTGCAGCTCTGCACTTTGATCCGCAGGAGCGTAAGTCCAACGATACACCTTTCATCTCATTTAACTAGCGTCTCTTCTTACTGATGAATTACAGGGAAGATTGTCAACCCCCTTCCAGTCTCAGCCGAACGCTCGGCTTTCGTAAGCATGAAGCACCTGCGCATCGATGCTTGCAAAGATACATTTCACTGGGACGAGTACAACCAGAGCAACATGAATCTCACCGTGTTATACCATGCGTACAAGGCGCTTCTCTGCCGAACCAAGCCGGACAAGGCGCGCGAATGGGGATGGCTCCCACCCAGGGTCCTCGAAGCCCCTCGTGCATCCAGTCCTCAGGCATCCATTGGTGATCTAGCTTATTGGCCGTTGAGACAGGCGGGAAACGACAAGTACGATCTACTCGTGAAGACCGCGCTCTGGCTGGCGCTTGCTAGAGGCCTTCCCGCCGTGCACCTATTCTGCGATTGTGCTCGAGTCTTCACGTCACTCATCCCAGCAGGAGATGCAAGCCCCAAGACCATTGTCTTCTTACGCCGGTTGACTCAACTCCGTGTGCCCGTGGCAGTCATCAATCCCAGCCCACGCATCCCCGTGCCATTCCAGAAGCGGTGCCAGAAAGGTGACAACGATGATTATTTCGAGGACGTGTGGAGGTCGGACCAGGACTTGGAGAAGGATTTGGCGCAGAATGTCTCGCTGTATGGCATGGACACAGCCAAGGATATCCAACGAGCACGACCCCCTCTCCCTCGACGCTCGTTTCAGCAACAGGCACAGCTGATCAAGGACGCTGTCACCGTCGAGACGAGCTTTGCAGACGCGTGGTCTCGTAAAGATCCGGCAAGCGTTCCTCTCGTCCCTTCTTCCTTACCAAGCTAATCGTTCTGATCTTAGATCCCGGTGCAGCACCGTCCTCCATCTGTCCCTGAGCCAGAGCTTATTTGGAAAGTCCAGCCTGAGCCGGAGGAGCCTGACATTTTCGACAAGGATGATTACGTCTCGGTTCTCTTCTGAGCAACGGGAAGATTCGTCATCTCAGCCCCGGCTTCAGCTGGTCGATTCATCTCCGCTCATAGCTTGACCATCACCTCTCTTCCCCCTGAACATTCTCTCCAACCCTCCCACCGTTGAGACGAAACACCGAGAATTGGCACGTTCTGATGACCTCAATAACGAGCCGAATCTCTCCGTTCCAGTCTCTCCAATCTCAAACTAGTGCATTGAACATTGAAAAGAGCCAACCACTCTTGCCTTTCTTAGCCCGCACTACCTTCCAAGCCTTTCCATCCTCTACCGCCCAGGACAATCTTGTTAATACATGTTCTTTTCCGATCTTGCTCCATAACCTCAACGAATCTTGATCTTTCCAGGAACCCAGGTTTTACTCATCCACCTCTTATGTGGCAGTCAGGAGCGAGCGGAACCGCACGTTGGATTTGATTGATTTTTGTTGAGAATTCAGACACCCAGCGAAAGGAAATGTGCAGATTTCTATCCAGGGCCCCCTTGGAGGGATGACTATTTTTGTTATTTTCTTCGTCATGTATGTATCTACGCCCGATGATGTTTCATGATGAGACATATCAAAATAGAATGACTGGGAAAGGATGTGGATTGCAGAACAAACAGATGTAGAATTGTGTAAAGGTTGTGATAGTCCTCAAGATTCTCATCTTTGGTTTGGTTCTTGAGTGTAAAAGTTGGTAGCCTGGATCGCCCGTGAGAGTTGGTGAGTAGGGCATGTGCACTGAGATCTGAGCAGTGGCTTTGATAGTCTTTACTCTGCAGTGCACTTGTGTATAAGTAAATAGCTGGTCACAGCCCTGTTTGTAAATGATCTAGAATGTGGTTCACTCGTTTTACTCAGAGAGAAAAAGTTGATGAGACCAGACCTG